CAGGAACCGAGCTTCATGTCCGACTTTTTCCGGTCGTTTAATGCGCTGCTGGGCCAGCGTCAGCGATCTACGCTCGCGTATAGACCTCAAGCAAACGGCACAGCGGAGCGGATGGTCCAGACTATTTCCAGATCTCTGCGGATGTACGTTGAAGACGAGAACCAACAGGACTGGGATAAATATGCGGAGCAGTTGGTGTTTGCGTTGAACACATCGCACGACCGAGTACACAAGGACACGCCATTCTTTTTGCTGCACGGGTGGGACCCTAAAACGACTATTGAGGCATCGTTGGCTGTTGGAGGGACCGGAAGCCGAGATCTCGACCCACAGAAATGGAGGTTCAAGATCCAACGCCAATACCAACGTGCTCAGACAGAGACTCGTCGTCTCCTCGCCGAAGCTCGTGAGAGTCGCGCGGAAGCCCACAATGAGAACGTACCGGAGTCACCCATTAAGGAGGGATCGCAGGTGTGGCTGTACCTCGACCGAGTCAAGGTCGGATACGCTCGGAAGCTCGCTCACATGTGGCATAGGCCTTTCAGAGTCGCCACCACGGCGAGCGACTACGCTGCCAAGCTGGAAATCAGCGGGACTGACTACCGACTGTTCCCTATCGTACACATCTCGAAGCTGAAGCTGGTCCGACAGTTCCCCGAACGACCCGCCGAAGATCTCACTGTTGATGAAAGCGAACGATTTGACTTTGACGAAGAACGTCTCCCCGAGGATAGCTGGGAGGCACAAACTCGCGGTGACAACGAGTATGAAGTTGAAGAGATCTTGGATGTCAAGACGGAGAGTCGCACCCGCTACGGTCGACGGCTCAAGGAATATTTGGTGCGTTGGAAGGGCCACGCAGAGACGAATTGGGTCAAGGAAGAACACCTGAACTGTGGTGGTCTGCTGTTCGACTTCCAGCAGAAGCGACGGAGCCGGCAGAGGTTCCATGTGATGCAATCGCGTGGAGAGGCCGACATCGCCGAAGAGTGAGGCGGTGTTGGGGGGTAGCGTGGTGGACGCTATCCGTAATGGCGGATGGTATTTGTTGCACATTTACATTTGATTGAGTGGAAGAAGAAATGGAGAGAAGATCACGCGACAGAACGGAGAAACGAGGTTAGTTGTGATGATCTGGTCGGACATTAGAATTACGACGAACGAGTACTCGGGGGCGACTTGGAGATCCAGCCCGGAGCCGCAGTGCAGGAGACACCGAGGGCGTGAAGGCGTGGTCGGTGGCCGTCGGACTAAGTGCAGTCCTACGCCTGGAGTTTGTGCTATGGCCTTGATCACCACAAATCACTTCCCAGAATGCACGGCGACCTACGACATGCCTTCACATCTCCAGTTGGGGAGATCTCCCAGTCATGACATTGACTGTGTACAATTAAGTTGTGGGGCGGGAGTGATATGAAATGGAGTCGAAGCCGGTGTATTACGATGTCGATAAAGAAGATGCATGCTCGAGGAGACTACCCACTAGCTACGTACATTGGTGAAGGAAGAAATGTCGGACGCTGGAGATTTCCGGGGGTCCTCCTAGGTCTGTTCAGCTGACTCAGGCTAGGCGATTGACGAGGTCGCCTTGAACTTGCCTCGAAGGCGCGTGTGGATGGGTTCGTTCATCGATGGGTGTTTGGCACGAGCGTTCCAGTAGAACAGGCGCCACGGCTCCGCCTCGTCAGTCGTTCGTAAGACGTGTAACAGATCTCCAGAGGCACCAGAAGCTCCCTTAGGGAACCACGGGCACGTTGCGATCAGCGGCAGGAAGAATGGCTCCAGAAGAATGTCCAAGTCGCACACATAAACCTTGCACAGGCGGGCCACCTCTTCGAACACAGGCAGCAGCATCTTCACAAAGTGGGATCTCCGATTCTTACGATCCGAAGTGAACTTCACCTCCCAAGACTCAGCGCTGGCCTTGGAAATGGAAATCTCGATGGAGTGGGTGATCTCCCAGAACACAAGCGCGCCACGATTATCGTTCCGAGCCAGCACATCGCGGATGATGGCCGGAAGAGGTTGGAAGCGGGGATCACCAATGTCGAACGAGACTGGGTCGGGCATGTTATCCAGGAAGATCTTCCAGGGACTCGCTTTGTATAAAGCTTCGACCGAGGCTTGTGGCCAGGGCCGATAGTCAGCAGCAACGGCCAGCTTCCCCTTCTTAGGGTTGCATACCCCGGCGGGTAGCAGCCAGTCGCGTGGTAAGAACTTCGAAGCGAGGTCTTTGGCTGTAAGCTGGTCAAGGCGGTGACCTGCAACAACCTCCCACAGCCACGGCGTGACATCGGCAGGGCGCGCAGCTTCGCTGGACTCAGGTGGAATTGCGTGCGTGAATGGGCTTCGGGCTGATACAGAGATCCACGGGCTGTCAGACGGAGATCTATGAAAGTCGCTTGTCTGACAATGAGGAGGAGCTACGTACCCATCGCCGTAGAGGAAGACAACTCAGCTGGCGCTCCCTCGGTAGTCGCAACGGCGCGCTTTGCGCGCTTCGACTGTGACGTTGGATCAGAAGAGAGATCTCCACTTCGCTTTGCCGAGCCAGACGGGAGCTGCTGCGAAGATGTTCGCGCTGGAGGATCAGAGGAGACAAGGCTCGTGGCCGTTGACGCCAGTGTGGCAAGAGACGAACTGGAAGAGGCCGACGCCACGCATCGTTCCACCTCAGGTTGCGGAGTCGGCGCAGGTACCAGATTGATCAAGTTGCGCAACGCTCCAAGGTGTTCCTCACGCTCCGCTAGTTTGCTGCGGAGATCAGCAGAAGAAGCCTGCTCCTTCAGCAGCGACTGTCGACTCGCATCCAGCTCCGCCTGCAAGTCGTCGCGAGCGAGGGAGGCCTCCGCTCGCTCTCGTTCTACAAAGCAATAAACGCACAGGTCAGCACAAGAGTCAACCCGCCACATTAGCACGCGCGATCATGACCTGCAGCCACTGCGCGATCCTGAGCTGTTGCGAGATCAGCCTGACGATGCTCCAAACTGTTCTTGAAGACGACGTTCTCACGCCGTAGAACGGTGTTATGTTGAGTCAGCCGAGTGATCTTCCTCTCCAACTCCTCCAGTCGCTTCCCAGCCACCTTATGCCGCTGTGCGAGATCCGATAACGCTGTCGCTGTGGAGATCAAGGCGTTAGTGATGCAACATCAACAACCTCAGCACTTGGGACGACTTACCACCGTCTTGCGCCTTCTTCGACGCCGCCGCCGCTTCTCGTCGTGGTGCTTCTGCGTCCTTACGAGCTTTGGACGTATCCAAGCGAAGGGCGTCCATCCGTGGCGCTGCTTTGTTGACCAGCGTGCGCGATTGCGCCAACTCGGTCTGCAACGTGTCGATTGTCGCCTCCGCTTGGCGCAATTGATTGCGAGATCTGTCTCGTTCGGCATTGGATCGTTGCAGGGCACGTCCCGCGCGTCCGTCACTAGTCCGATCATCATCATTGCCAGCTTCGCTGGCAGCCAACAGTCGGCCACCTGGGGTCACCGATGCAGTGGGAGGAGGGGTCCAGGTAGCCTTGATATCTGCCAGCTCGATCATCCAGATCTCCGAGGGCGATCTCCAACTGACTGGGGACGACGTTAGAGGGCGATGCTGCAGCGGACGGAGTGACTTCATCGGCATCAGCTGAGCGAGCGGCGACCCGTGCGAGATCTGCGCGTACTTGTTGTTCAGCAGCTTCGGCTTGCTGACGGCGTTCTACTTCGGTGTTCAGGGCCTGCTGGAGATCTCGGAGACGACCGTCGGCTTCGTTGCGCACGCGTTGAACCTCCAGATCGCGATCATGGATGGATCGATGAAGACTTGCAGTGTGGCGACCAGATGCTTCAAGAAGATCCTGGGCGACGTCAAGACGGCCCCGGAGATCCAGCACCTCGTGGTCGAGGGCTGCGGTGACTTGAGCAGCCTGGATAATGCGCGCGCGTTCCGATAGAGATGGCTGCGAACCGGAGTATGGAGCCGCGGCCGGTATAGATCGACCAAGGGAGTGATAGGCGGTGCAATCTCCGTGCCTGTAGGTCGACGACGGGGCAGCACTCAGCAGAGGGACGCCGGCGGCCGACGACGAAGGCGACGACGTGGGTGGAGAAGCAGACATGGTGCAGGAGCTCTACGCGTGGCAGCAACCTGCTCGATAGCCTCACGCGAAGAGAGGGCGGATGTCGTAATGCGGGTTGAAGGATTATGAGGCGATGGACCCGGAGGTTACCCGAAGGTGACCCGAGAGTGAGCCACTTGAATTATGGGACACCCTCGCTCGGCGTCCCGTATAGAAGGCCGGCGACTGATTACGAAACCCGATGGCGTATTTACGGAGATCCAGAACGGGGAGGCCCGTAACAAGGACGATGACACCGCACGGAGACAGCAGATGACGTCATGAGGTAAAGGCGTGCAGCATACTGGTTGGTTGGTTGGCCGGCAGACGAGCTGCCGGTAGATAGGCAGTTCAGTTCAGAATTTCCAACAACGAGACAAGGTACTTCTTCATATTAGTCTTTGTGTTGTGTGGTTAGCGCCTACGTGTGTACTGTGACTGTTTCCTACCTACTTGCGAAGTGTACTCGGGGTTCTGGATTGATTTGGCCTCCCCGGTAACCTTCTAGTAGCGTAGTGTGTTGCATTGTCTGGACTCAGGAGATCAGCTCTCAGTGTTCGACAGTAGGACACTCTAAACGGTTTAGTAAGGTATTGGTGTGCGTCTCGCACTTTGGTTTGGACCCGCAGACTAGCTGCGGCAGGAGATCTCCAGTAGATCTCGTACGTATTGTACAACAAGTTGTCGTACAGTGGGAAGAGTTACCTCGCTGTACAAATGCATCCGCGACAGAGTTAACCTAAGTCTCTGCCTGCGAGTGTAAGGAACCCCATATTCACCCCTTCATATTACACGTCTTCTAGGAATTACGCTAGATAAAGATCCGAGTCTTGCTACAAGGGTACACAAGGTGAGGCCTAGAGATCTCGGGACTAGTTCTCGTTGTCTTTGGGTATTTGGCTTGCAGGGGTAACCCCCCCCCCCCCCGTAGTTGCGTGACAGGACACGTGTGGGAGTTTATTAGTTTTTATGTGAGGGACTCCACCACAAGTGTCCAGGGCGATAGGAGTGCAGCCGGGCGATCGGAACAGCCACGCCAACGTCGAGTGTCGGGTCAAGACCCGGATCGATCGTCCAACCAGCATGTAATAGTTCAGGTCCAGGATCCGTAACAGCGCCAGCACTTCTTTCTCCACCACATTGTAATTCAGTTCATTCGACTTCAGCGTTCGACTGGCGAAAGTAACGGGATGATAGATCTGGTCGTGCTCCTGCATCAATGCGGCCGAGATCGCCCAGTCACTGGCATACACAATCACGACCGGAGTCCGATCGCGATCGAAGTGCCGCAGGATCGGTGTCGTCGCGATCTTCATCTTCAGGGTCGAAAAGGCACGATGAGCACGGATCCAGCGTTCATCGGCTACACCGACTTCAGGAACTGATGGAGTCCGATCGGGGTTCACTGGATCCGTATCCACTAAGTTCGCTACTTGACGATCCAGGATCTGGCGCAGATCGGGGCGTTTCTTCAGCTCGGGGAAGTCCACCTCGCGCAGTTCGTACAGGATCGCCGCGTAGATCGCGTAATCTTCCAAGAAACGGCTGTAATAATTGAGGCTGCCCAAGAACGACTGCATCGATCGGAGCGATCCGGGGAACGGCAGATCAGTCAGAGCCGTGAGATCTTTCGGATTGGCCTCTAGCCCGTCGTTCGACACCCGATGTCCCAGATAGTCCACCTTACGCATCCCCCGAGCTCTTCTCCACACTGATCGAGAGGTTCCACTTATCACAAGCGTCCAGCAGGTGATCCACGCGATCACACAGCTCGTCCCATGACCCGGCCGTCACCAAAATGTCGTCAATGTACGATCTGCGACCTAGCACTGATGGACGCCCGGATCTTCTGGTTCTCCTGACTCGACCAAGTCCGTAGTGACTTCACAGTCCGACGATCGCGGGATCCTGGTGAACCCATACAACGCGTCGTCCAGAAGTCGCTGGTAGATCTGAGGAGCGTTCTTCAAGCCGAATGACACGATGTGGAAACAGATTTTTGTCTGCACCCATGTCCGACCCCATGGATACGTGGACCCTTCGGTGAGCTGGATTGGTCGCATGAGATGGAGATCCGGTAGAGACGAGTGTGACGTGTGGATTGTGGATGTGTGTGGAGACTTGGTGGGACCCGGCACTTGCAGCAAGCATGGGCTCACAGGATTGGAGATGCGCCCACCGGATGAGCGCTCATATTCGGTGGGGAGTCACGCATCCTGTCCGTCCGCCGACTTCCCTAACGGCAGGATAGGCCCAAGGCGCGAAAGTGTGGCCAGCGAACGTATCCTGGCCACTGCCTGCATTGGATCAGTCAAGTTGTCGGACCACCCCACTGAATCGCCCCACCAGACATGATCACACGCGCACAGACCCTGTTCGATGAAGCCTCGTGTTGTCCGGACCGGATCGTGGTGCACCCTGATGGAAGGTATGGATCTTGGACACGAAGCTCGGACGAAGCGGAGGGAGGGACGTCGCAGACGGCGGGACCGGAGCGAAGGCACTTGAGGGGTAGAATGAAGATTCGAAAGTGATTGAATTGTTGGAGCTTACACCCTACTGTTATAGACACGCGACCCTGCGTCCTATCACCTAGTGCATCTAATCAACCATCACTCACCGGTGTTCATCCAATCATCCTACTCGTCTAATCATCGGTGGCGTAAACAACTTACCGTAATCACCATAATCAACGTGGGTTCGGATTGGACCGGTTCGGGTTAACCGGTTAATGGGTACAACTGGTACACAGTACCCAAGACCAGCAACCCTCAATACACCCGGTGACGGCGTACCGAATGGAGAAGTGCCACACCGGATGGGGACGGACAGTATCGTTCATTCGGTCCGCCCCCCGTGCCCACACTGGATGTCGACGCACCAAGAACAAGTCCAGTGCGCGCTGCGTGTGTTCACACAGCGGCGTCGATCCGAACCGGATGAGACCAAGATCCCCCAAGATCCACAGGCGGCACCGAATGAGCCGCAGATCCAAGGGAGAGGTCCAGTTCCAAGACGAAGAGACGGTGTATCCAGATACCTCCGTCATCATCTGATGAGTGTACCCGAACAAGTGTCGCCGTCAACAAGTCTCCGCATACCGAAACCAAGACGAGCATCTGAAGAACTGCTAAGAAGCACAAGCCTACTCAAGACAAGCGAAGCATAGTGAAACCTACTTTAAAGTCAGCGAAATGATAGAAGATAGCTAGCCAAACGTAAGATCTAAACAGAAACCAATTTGCCGAAGAACACGCGGACGACTCGGTGCTCGGGGCAGAAGTAACACCCCGACTTTGACGTCTTCAAGAGCCCTCCAGGAGACTGCCTGCGCGCGGTCTAAGCCAGTTTAGGGACGCTTCCAAGGCCTCACTGGTGTAGCGAGCACTGGTGTAGTGGGGACTCAAAGGTACCAAGGCAAAGTCGGCAGTGACTGGGGTTTCGCGCCCCGGAGTGACCTGTGAGAGCTTTATTTCCTATTTGCGTGCTCTAACCGGGCATCCATTTCATATTCCCTACTGTGTGTCTTTGGTGGTTGAGGTAGTCACCCCCCCAGACCGAATTGATTGACTACTGTGTGATAGGACTAAATTTTATTTTGTATTGTTCCCTCATTCTGTGAGGGTGGTGCGCGTAAGTGAGTGTACATCCAGGGCTGACCAGTGCCTTGGGTGACGGCTCCGAAGTTGACTGGTGTATAGACCCCCCACCCAAGGGTCTCAAAGAATAAGTGGTGGCTGTATATTTTGTGACGTTTAGCTCGGCATTGTATTTCTGTGTATTGGTTATTCTGAATTACGGATCTGACCGTGGTCCCTTTCATTCGGTCTGACCTTCTGTTCATTCGGTGTGGTTTATCCCAGGAACACACCCAGCAGACTTTATTCTGTATCGCAACAACTCAACTCGGTGAAATCCGGTCCGCCAAAGGTAAACGATACCTATAGGGGTTGACACAAGGACACACGCCAAACACCGGACCGCATTAGTGCGATTCGGTGCGTCCAAGCGGTTCCAGGCCCGGGTCATTCAGTGTCCCGTGGGCTGCTTATCGCGTGGACAATCTCTGGTACTCCGAACCCGAATTCATTCGGTCCGGCATAGTGCGCTATACACCCTGGACGATAAAGGCGTTCATCCGCCTCGCCTCGGCTGGTGCGCGTGCCCGGATTTGGTTGCCTAGGATTTCACCGCGAGTTGTTTGTATATTGATTCGGTCTTAAGGGGTGTTTCTACAGTCTACCTGGACTAACAGTTTGGTTATGACTGGAAGGAAGCACGTGAAGGTGGACGCGGAGGCGGACGCGGTGAGGCGTCGCGTCAGTCGCGTCGAGGGCAAGGGCTGCCGCCGGAGGAGCACAAGGCCCTGGACGACGTTGTCTGGGAGGCTCGGAAGGCTGGTGCTGGGAAGCGCAAGGCGGTCCTGGAAGAGAAGAAGAAGGCGTCGGCGGCCGTTCAAGATCAAGCGGCCCCGGAGTCCTCCGTTCTGGATGCGCACCAAGCAAACCAGGATGAGGCTCCGGAGGCGGACTCGACCGAGTCTGTGCCGGCCGGCACCGAATGTGTCCCAGACCCGGCGACGGGACTGGATGAGGGTGAGTCCGCACAGGATGATGAACCCGCCCAGGCGTCTGTGGGAGGCGCCGATGAGGTTGAGCCCCCGGCTGAGGATCGATTTTCGGACTCTCCCCAGCCGGATGACGAAGTCGAGATTCTGGATGAAGCCCCGACGATCAAGCATGAAGGCCCGCTGTCGACTGTCCAAGAAGACGGCGTACTGAACGACGAAGCCGAGACCCGGTCTGCCCCTGCGCCATCCGGTCCGGCCGCGACTGCCCAAGCACCCGCGCTCAAGATTGAAGCCCCATCCGGTCTGGCGCTCTCGGATTCGCGAGGACCCGACGAGACCACGGCCCAAGTGAGCGAGACACAGGCGAAGGCGTACGTGGCCGAACAGGTGCGCCGCTGGGAGCAGCATCGTGAAAGCGCTGTCGTCCTGCTCAAGGTGGAGTATGCCTGGCCCGAGCCGACACCCGACTTCACCGAATGGTGGGCTGCCGCGCTGGCGACGTCGAAGTACCTGTCGGACCGAATGGCGATGGCAAGTCAAGATGCTGCATGGATCGCGGAGCTGGATTTGGTACGGCTTGAGCTGTGTCTGGCCCAGGATGTCACGGGTATCGTGATTCCGCCGAGCATTCTCTCGCCGCGCGAGTGCGTTGCGTCCATCCAGCCTCTCCTCTTCGCTGCCAGTTTCAGGTTTCACAACCTGATCCCGATGTGGTTCCAGCCCAAGTCCTCCAGGGTCGCACCGAGCCTGGTGCGCTCTGTGGTCGAAGACGTCCAACATTTCCTCGCGTTCGAGCTGATCGAGTGGCGCGAGCTGGCATCCGGTGTGCCCTTCAAGACCGTACCGGATGCGCCGGACGTTCAAGACCTGACCGGACCGAATGCTGGGAACACTGGATCGACGCCGCAGCAAGCTGTGCGAGCACCGATCCTGGACTACCAGGCTGAAGACAACGACGGAGACCTATTGATGTCGGATTACGAGGCTGGACTACTGGGTCGCGAGTTTGTCCTGCGTCTACGAGTGGCCGGACTCCGGCGGACACAGAGCCCGCAAGGGTCGTCTACCGGCGAAACGGATTCCAAGCGCTCGCAGTACGGACCGCCTCGCCCGTCGTCCATCCAGTCCGCATCGTCGATCCCGTCCGCGCCGCCGCTGTCCACACCGTCGCTCTCGTCGCTCCCTTCGTACCACGCATCCAGCGAGTCTGGACGCGCATCTGGTACCGGAGCGCTGGTTCAATTTGGTCCGCCGTCCCGTTCGCCCTCGGATCTTGATTCGAGCTTGTTCGGTACGACGGCCGGATCCAACGAGTCGACATTCAGCGCGGCATCGGGAGCTCGGCGTCCAGAGGCAGCTCGTCTTCGTCGTCGCTGTGGTCCGGACACGATGCCGCGAGGCACATGTCCGCGATTGGGTACGGACCCATGGTGATGACCGCGCAAGCAGGGATGATTCAGTCCGGCACTGGCGGAGGAACCGTGGAGATCACCCGGAGCGCACTCCCTCGGTCATCGACGGCGGTGGATCAGGACGATGTCGTTATGTCGGAGTCCGATCGCACCACCGTCCGGAGTGACCGAAGGTCGAGAGCGTCATCCGGTCCGCGAACGACGTCCAGGCGCGAGAAGCGGAGTCCGTCACCAAGCGAGTCGGATTCCAGCGAGGACGACCGGAGTCGCCACCGAAGATCGTCGAGGTCGAAGCGCGCACCGAGTCGGTCCAGCAGATCGAGTCGATCCGGTCGGTCCAGCCACTCCGCGATGTCCGTGATGTCAGGGGCCTCCCAAGTCGCGCTCAATACGATGCGCCAGACTCAGGAAGCCCTTGCCAGGATGGAGCTGAATCAGGAGGCGTCCGCTGCGAGCACAGCTCGACTGGGTGAAGGACTCCAGAACGCGTTCCACGCGATTCAGGAGCTCGCCGGACGCGCCGCTGCCCTCCAAGGTAGTCGGCAGACCGGATTGGGACAGAATGCTCCGGTCCCGGAGCCCCCGATCCAGTCCGGCCCGTTCCCGGTATCGCCGATCCAGGAGCACGAAGTCGCCGCCGCCATTCAGAGCGCCCGCACCGAGGCGGCGCGTCTGGAGCGCGAACGCGTTGCCGCGGAGTTCACCGAGCGCTGGAAGCAGCAGGAAGCGCAGGCTGAAGCCGACCGAGCACGCTGGGTCGAAGACGTCCAGCGGAGACTGAACGCTCAACTGGATTTATTCCAAGAGAAAGTCCACAAGGTTGAAGCTGAGCGAGAGAGGGAGCGAAAATCTTCCCGGAACATTCAGCGGTTTCAGGCCCACCAGTTGCACAACCTTCGTGCAACACGCCAGGAAAATCCAGCTGCTCAAGCAACATCGGGATGTCGCAAGTGAAGACAGAGACCGGGCGTGCGACTCTGCACCCAGGTGCAAGTGCGCCTATCCAGTCCGACCAGGCGCCCATCGGGTCTGCGACGCCACGCGCCGACGAGCTTCTAGCAGCCCAACTCCAAGCGACGATCGATGGTGTTCTCAAGGCGCGAGCGACCAAGGCGCGCGCCGCGCAGGCTGCGCCGGTGATGGGCAAGCAGGATGCCCCCGCGAAGGACGCCAAGAAGCCGCCCATGAAGGGGGAAGGCTCCAAGGACGCGAGGGACACCGGGTCTGGGGCGCACAAGCGCCCATCCGGTAGGCGGAGCCGCGAGAGCGGTGACCCCTCCGGATCTGACCCGGACTCGAGCTCGGATGACGGCTACGACGAAGGCTACAGCTCCAGCGGCTCGGACGACTCGCTGGCGACCGTGCCCACGCACTCCACGTCGGTGACGACACAGGATGGCAAGACGGTGATGAACTTCAGACCGTATGTGAGCTCCAGCTCGCTCGAGGACTTCGACGACAAGGCCCCATACCAGGAACGGACAAGATGGTGGGAGCGATTCCTCACCCTGACGGTCCAAGGTGGCTGGACGGACAGCATGATGGTCTACGAGCTGCGTTTGAAGCTGCCTTCGTCTGCCCGCAACTGGCGTCAACAACTGCCGAGGCACACACGCGACACCTGGAGTTTGCTGTCCCGCGCGTTCAAGAACAAGTACTGTCGGTCGAAGGTGTCCGATTCGGAGCGATACTATACCATGGCTCAGAAGCGGACCGAATCGACCCTCGACTTCTTCTACCGACTGAATGCTGGGGCGAACAGGGCGAATGTGAACTTCAAGAAGTCGCCGAGGACGCGGGAGATGCACATCAAGTGGTTCATCCGGAACCTCTCCGAATCAAGGTTGCGGTCCAGTCTGAAGAGTCAGCGCATACACAGCATCGACGACCTGGAGTTCATTCTGCGTCAGCATGAAGACGGCTACCAGGACAGTGCGCGCGAGAGCTCGTCCAGACCGCGCGACTTCCGCGCGGACAATCCGCGTACCGAGACCGAGATCGCGAGCGGTACAGACCGAAACCTGCGGGACGTGCTTACATCGCACAGAGCGAAGACGAATCGGATGAGGAGGATCGACACGTGCGCTTTCAGGATGAAGTGGAGAACCGCGCACTGACGATCGCACCGAATCATGATTCGGTCCCACCCGCTCCGGCACGACCAGTCGGACCAGATCCAACCCTGGCGGTACTGAATGAAGACGTTCTGCGCAATGCGGTGTTCCGTGTGATGACGGGTTCAGGATGGAAGCCGCCGCCGCCGGTGCGGCAGCCAGGGGCGTCGAGATTCGGTCCGTCCTCCGCACCGCAGTCGCCAAGAGGAAGTAATTCGGACTGGCACGAGTTCTGCGAGAAGTGTGAAAGGCCTGGACATCGACAGGAGAATTGCTGGATGGACATCGTGTGTGACCGTTGTCATCGTCGAGGACACCCGATGCGGGTGTGCAGGATCATCCCGTGCAGAATCTGTGGTCGGTTCCATGACGGACTGTGTGGACTTGCGAAGACCGTGGAAGAACTGAAGAAGCTGGCACAAGAAGGAGCCCTGAAGGACATACCGAAGAACATACTGGATCAGCTGCTGGATGACAAGGCAGATGCAGGTGGGCAGTTAAACCACTAAGCCCGCTGGGTGGGGACCCAGTACGCGCCGGGCGTAAGCCCCCTGAATTGTGTGTGCTAGCCTATGTCGGACCGGAGCTGAGGACCAACGACCAAGATAACCACCAACAATGCATGATTTCCCTGAGCAATGACGACCCGATTCAGTCTGATCAAGTTGACGACCATTCTGTACGGAACCATTCTGGATCGCGAGGACCGGACGGGCAGACCGAATTTCGGCTGGAACCCGGTGAGCGGTATGGATGGTGGGTTGATCACGAACCGGATAAGGACTCGCATGAGGTGGCTACGGTACATGGTGCAGTGAACGATTTGCGACTGGAGATTCTGTTGGACACTGGAGCGTCGGTGAATATGATCAGTTTGGATCTTGCGCGTAGACTCAAGATCAAGCTCAACCGACACAAACAGATCAAGGTGTCTGGACTGGGTGGCAAACCCACCTACATCTCTGCCAGCACCCAAGTCAAGATCACGCTCGGTGCGAGAGTGGTGTATGTCATGGATGTCTGGGTCGCGAATATCGGTGAAGGTGTGGACGTATTATTGGGTATGAACTTTATGTTCTGTGCTGGAGTTCGGTTATGCATCCGCGAGGGACTTTTGCAGCTACCGGATGAAGAGCCTGTTCTCATGTACGGGGACAAGGTACAGCGTCGACAAGGGATGAGGTTGCCGGTCCAGGCGCCGGAGACCCTGTACCTCCGACCTGGTGATGAAGCTGTCGTGCGCATTCGGTTCGGCCAAGCCAACCCGCAACGCGAAGTGGTGTGGGCCGGACGTGGCGACCGATGTGATGGAAGGTATGGATCTTGGACACGAAGCTCGGACGAAGCGGAGGGAGGGACGTCGCAGACGGCGGGACCGGAGCGAAGGCACTTGAGGGGTAGAATGAAGATTCGAAAGTGATTGAATTGTTGGAGCTTACACCCTACTGTTATAGACACGCGACCCTGCGTCCTATCACCTAGTGCATCTAATCAACCATCACTCACCGGTGTTCATCCAATCATCCTACTCGTCTAATCATCGGTGGCATAAACAACTTACCGTAATCACCATAATCAACGTGGGTTCGGATTGGACCGGTTCGGGTTAACCGGTTAATGGGTACAACTGGTACACAGTAGCAACCCTCAATACGCCCCCTCAATGCGAAGTCCCACGAATGCCGAGAGCCACCGTCAGATCCGTGTGGCGTGGTCCCGCAAGCGCCTTCGTCATGATGTCCGCTAGCATCACAGAAGTCTCGCAGTACTGGAGCTTGACTTCGCCGCGTTTGACTTCATCGCGGATGTGGTGGTACTTGATGTCGATGTGCTTGGCGCGACCGTGGTTCACTGGGTTCTTCGTCATCTTGATGCACGACTGGTTGTCTTCGCGGATCATGAGTTCGGGTCCAGTCTCATTAGCGGCCGCCAGAATCTCGCATAGCAGGCGATGAATCCACTTGCCTTCTTGGATAGCCAGACTGAGCGCGATGTACTCCGCTTCATTGCTTCTTGCTTCCCCAGCTCACAGGCGCACTCATGAGCATGAACGTGTAGCCTGAAGTGGACTTGCGGTCGGCGAGGTCGCCGGCCCAGTCCGCGTCCGAGTAGCCACGAAAGTCGATCTTGTCGCCCGGCTTGAAGCAGATCCCATGCGTCTTGGTGCCTTGCAGGTAGCGAAAGATACGCTTGACCGCAACCCAGTGTTCCTCTTGGGGGTTCTCCATGAAGCGCGATACATAGCCAACGGCGTACGCGATGTCTGGGCGCGTGGCGGTCATCAGGTGCATCAGAGCACCAACAGCTTCGCGAAACGGAGCGTTCACCTTGGTCGCCGCGTCGCTTGGAACCAGTCGAGTGCTCATGTCCACCGGACTCACCACGGCCTTGCACTCGTCCATGGCGAAGCGCTTCAGGATGTCGTCCACGTATCGCCGCTGGCACATGGTCACGCTGCCGTCCGGGCCGTCCACCAACTCGATCCCAAGAACAAACGCGCACTTGCCGCTGTCGGTCATCTCGAAGCGCGTCTTCAGGTCGGTCTTCGTGCGTGCGATCAGCTCGGGCGAACTCCCGGTAATCAGTACGTCATCCACGTACACCAGTACAAGCACGCAGTGACCGTCCACCACCTTGATGTAGAGGCACGGATCGAAGGCCGACGCTTGGAAGCCGATGGAGCACACGAACTCGTCGAAGGTCTCGTTCCACACTCGCGAAGCTTGCTTGAGACCGTAGATGGCCTTCACCAGTTCCAGGCAGTCGAAGTCACCATCCAGTTCGACGCCTTCCGGAACCACGCAGAAGACCACCTCCTTCATTATCCCGTACAGGAATGCTGTCACCACGTCGAGTTGGTCGAGGGGCCAGCCAAAATACTTAGCAATCGCGATCACCATGCGCAGCGTCACATACTTGACCACGGGCGAGAACATCTCGGTGTAGTCAATGCCGTACTTCTGCTTGAAGCCCTTGGCCACGAGGCGCGCCTTGTACTTCTCGATCGAGCCGTCGGCTTTGCGCTTGATCTTGAACACCCACTTGGTATCGATGGCGCGTTGTCCGTTAGGCAACTTGGCAGCTCGAAACACACCACGCAGTCGCATCGACTTGAGCTCCGCGCGGATCGCTTTGCGCCAGTGCACTTGATCAGGACCGTTCACAGCCTCTTGGAACGTCGTCGGCTCCGATAGATCGGCTGCTGCTTCCACAGCGTTGGCACTGGCACGCCAAAACACTGGAGGCGTCGAGTCGTCGTCTTCATCTTGGTCCCCAGACTTTTCTTCTTCGTCGGGGTCGGCTCGGCGCGAGGAGGATACGTCCGGCGCACTTTCTTCTTCTAAGCCAGCTCGGTGGCGAACGGGGCGCGATCTTCTGGCAGTGTTGTCGTCGCCACTCGGTCGGTACTTGCGCTTCCCCGCCTGCTTGAAGCTCGTTTGGCGCGGTCCATCGTTGTCGTCCAGGTCCAGCGCGTCCAAGTCCAGCACAGCATCATCGACGTCTTCATCCGAAGTATGCGTCGAAAGTCCAAAGGTCGACTCATCGAAGTTGACATCGCGACTGATAACCACCTGCCCCGCCTCGATGTCATAAACTCAATACGCCTTGGACACTTCTTCGTAGCCGAGGAACAGCCCGGCGCGAGCCTTGGGGTCCCACTTGCGCCGTCTTTCCTTCGGCGTCAGGATGTACGTCTGGCATCCGAACACACGCATGTGCTTCACACTCGGCTTGGACTTGTAAACGATCGGAGTCTTGTGTTCGATCTTGGGTGATGGCAGACGATTCTTCACGTAGATGGCTGTCATGGCCGCCTCAGCCCAGAAGCTCTTGTCCAGCTTGGCGTGATGCAGCATGCTGCGGCCAATCGTGACGATGGTCCGGATGGCGCGTTCTGCCGTGCCGTTGGTCTGGTGCGCGTACGGAACCGTGGTTTGCTGCTCGATGTCTTCGGCTTCGTAGAAGGCCTTGAGCGAGTTGGTCGCGAACTCACGGGCTCCGTCGTGCCGCACAAACTTGACCTTCTTGCCGAACTGCGTCTGCACCTTCGTGACGTACATCTTGATGCAGTCCTCGCTCTCCGACTTGGCACGCAGGCAGAACCCCTTCATGCATCCGCTGGCTTCGTCCACGATCAGCAGCAGATACTTGCTGCCACCCAGTGACTCTTCTTCCATGGGGCCGCACACGTCGAAGTGGAGCAGCTCGAACGTGTCGCAGTGGCGCTTGTCACGGTTGCTTGGGAACGGTTTCTGGACCATTTTCCCTTGCTGGCAGCCGCGACACACGCTTGGTCCACTCGACTTGGAAGGTGCCTTCGCGTCCTTGATCATGTTGTTGTCGACCATCTTGCGAAACATCTCCACCGGAGTGTGACCCATACGCGCGTGTAAGTCGACCGTCTTCCCACTGGTCGCCGCATTCGCCGATCGCTGAGGCGTCTGGAGCCAGTAGAGACCATCCACGAGGTTTGCCGTCGCCACCACTTGCTTGGCGCCCTTGTGCGCAATCTGCATCTTGGTGCTGTCGAACACGACTTGGAACAGACCACTCTTGTTGATCTGTGGCACCGAAAGCAGATTCTTGCTCATGCTTGGGACGTACAGCGCGTTCTTGATCTCGATGTCGCGCTCGTCGCCGTTGGGCAGAACCACTCGTTCCACGATGGTCCCCACACCCATGATGGCCGCCTTGTTGCCGTCGGCCACCGAAAGTTCGCCTTCATTCCGCTCAATCAAATGAGCGAACTTGGCCTTGTCGTTGCAGATGTGGTGCGTTGCGCCGCTGTCGACCGCCCACAACCCGGACACATTCTTGCCCGTCGAAATGCCACACTCCAGTGAGACCGCGAACGCCACTCGATCATAGCCGTAGTCGTAGTTGTAGCTGGCGTCGTCGTTCCTCCACTGGGCATTGTTGGCCCCGCGTCCACGGCCATTGCCATTGCCGCCGCGTCTTGGGCCCCGATTCTCGTCCTTCTGCTTGGTCCAGCACTTGTCAATCGTGTGCCCCAATTTCCCGCAGTACGTACACTGGCGAGACTCTCGGTCGGTGTTGAACGCCTTGGCCGCATTCTCCGTCTTCACCGTCGCCGTCTTCTCGCCTTGTCTCTTGATATGCTCATTCGTCAGCACCTTCACGACGTCTTGCGATCGTAGTTCAGCGCTGCTCATCTCCAAGTTCAGCACGACGTTCTCGTAGCTCTTGGGGAGGCTGCGCAACACACGTCCTCATCCTCCATCTTGGCGCCGATGCTGCTGAGCTTGGCGCTGATGTTGAGGACCTCGTTGCAATGATGCAAGACGTTGCCGCCTTCCGACATCTCCATGCTGAAGAGTTGGCGCTTCAGGTAGATGCGTCCAGCCTTCTGCAAACCACCGTACAGCGTCTTCAGGCGCGTCCACGCAACCCACGCTTCCTCGCAGTCGTCGACCACATGGTGGTAGTCCGCGTCCATGTGGAGCAACATCAGTCCGAACGCGATGTTGCTCGACTTGACGTAGTCGTC